CCCCTATTTCAATCCCTATTAAGGACTGTTGAAATAAGGGGGAGCATCACAATGTAGAGGGTTTAGGGCTGAGGGCTTAGGGTTAGGGTTTAGGGTATAGGGTTTAGGGTTTAGGGTTTCATGCTGTACTTCATCTGCTTGTAACCACTCGGCATTCAACTCGGTGCGACCTTGCCCGAGAGTGGAAATTCTAGGGTTTAGGCTTTAGGGTTTAGGGTTTAGGGTTTAGGGCCTAGGGTTTAGGGTTTAGGGTTTAGGGTTTAGAGTTTAGGGTTTAGGGTTTAGGGCTAGCAGTTGAGGGCTTTCGTGGCGCAAGATGCCGCAGTTGTGGACACCTTGTGCGAGTTCTGCCATGAGCTGACTGCGAAGCATTCAAGATGTGCAAACCCTGAACCCTAAACCCGAAACTCTAAACCCTAAACCGTAAACCCTAAACCCTAAACCCTAAACCCTAAACCCTAAACCCTAAACCCTACACCCTAAACCCTAAACCCTAACCCTAAACCCTAAACCCTAAACCCTAAACCCTAAACCCTAAACCCTAAACCCCGGCGTAGTGGACTCAATGAGCGCCCTTCTAAGTCAGAACTTGTCGTATGAGCCCTCGCGAGTACTCTACACTCCATACTTGGAGGTTCATAGGTACTTAGAAGTAGGGTTTAGGGTTTAGGGGTTAGGGTTTAGAATTCAAAAAGGGTTTAGGGTGGTTTAGGGTGAACCCCAAAGCATCTTATGAGCAGATTTGCAAGAGGCCTTCTTAGATTCTCAACAGCAGAGAGAGAGAAGCCATCTCATGTCGGCGACGCCACTGCAAGAAGATATCCCCGTTCGAGGCGTCGGGGGGGTCCCAGTTTTCTGGTGTTTAGGGTTAGGGTGTATAGGGATTACAGGGATTAGGGTTTTTTAGGGGTTTAGGTTCAAATAGGGTTGAGGCTTTAGGGCTTGTGGCATAGTTCAAATGCAGTCCTTAACTCTCCCTGGACTTTATGTGTTGAGGGGATCGCACCCCTCCACAGGGCACGCGAATCAGCAACTGAAGCCCTGCGCCTAACGGGGTTTAGGGTTGAGGGTCCAAGTAGTTGCTGCCAGAAGGCCAGGGCTGGGGAAGCTTTCTTGCGCCGAAGGTCAAACACCCGGACCAGCAAGTACCCTTAATCCCTAAATGGGGGTTTTCAAAGTAGGGACCCCCGATATAGATACCCAAATGGTAGGAGCCCCTTGTAAAAAGGACCCCCAATAAGGTACCCCTAATTTCGGTTTGAGGGTGTACGTTTAGTTGATGAGAGGAGGCTACTTGCATGAGCCGACGCTCACAGACTCACTGCTCCGTCGGGTCTGTGATCATCGAGATCTCGGCTGCGGCTGCCGCTGCACTGGGTTCCAACTTTGTGGCCATGTGAAGCAAACTTTATATTCCTTATATCCCCAAAAGGACACCCAATATATACACTCACCAATTTTCAGCCGTCTCTGTGCAGTGCAACATTGGATCTGCCCTAAACCCTAAAACCTAAACCCTATAAACCCTAAACCCTAAACCCTGAAGCCGAAGGCGCTCAGAGTGAGTTGTAGGGCTTCCGAAGCGTGTAGACAAGGGTTTAGGGTTTAGGGTTTTAGGGTTTAGGCTTTTAGGGTTTAAGGTTTAGGGTTTAGGGCTTATAAGGCAAAATCTTTAGGGGGACCGAGCTCCAGGCAAATTCCACAAGTTCTTGCGGAGGAAAAGGGGAACCCTAAACCCTAAACCCTGGTTTATAAACCCTAAATCCTAAACCCTAAACCCTAAACCCTAAACCCTAAACCCTAAACCCTAAACCCTAAACCCTAACCGCCATTTCTTCCCTACCCACACACCGAGGCCAGATCCTGTGGAAGATCTGCCAGCCGCTGCCCAGCGTCCCCCTTGTCAGGCACTCCTTTCTTCATAAGGCATATGCCTTAAGAACCCAAAACCTCCTTTTTTGTAGGCTATTGCTAGAAAGCCCCTTGTCGGGTGTCTTAGGAAACCCACAAGAAAATAGGTTTTGGGTGCTTAAGGCTTTGCAATGAAGGCTCAGCAGCTTTGACCCAGACTTGATGGTCAGTTGGGGTTGAGCGAATGATCGAAATCAAGTACGCGGCTCACGCCGCAGGTTTCACCCTGAAGTGGACATGTGCGGGAAGGGACATATGGAATACAAGCAGCGCGGAGAGGAAAGAGAGAAAGAGAGATGCCTAAGCCACACACCCCTGGAATGTGCAGGCGGACATGGATTGATGCATCGAGGACTCATCCAGCCAGATTGGTTCTCACGGAGGACACTCCCCAGCAAAAAGCATGGAGATTTGTAGCCCAGTCACACCCTGGGCCCCCTGGCCCCCGCTCGGCCTTCAGTGACCCCCCCCCCCCCTGGCCCCTCTTCTGGCCCCCCTCCCTCCCCTCACCCCACCTGCCCGAACCTTTCCTACCAACCGTTCAAAGGATGCGGGTGGGAAGTGGGAAATTTAGGGCGTTAGCCGAAACCCGACTGCGTAAGCAGGGGGTAGGAAAAATAAAACAACCCAACCTTTCGGTTGTGGTGGCTCCAACTTCAATATACGCCGCCACAACATATGCCGCCCCCTCACACCGCCTGGGTGTGTTGGGGCGCCATCTCCGCATGAAATCTACTGCCGCGGCGCGGCGAGAAGCCCTAAACCCTAAACCCTCGACCCTCGACCCTAGACCCTAGACCCTAGACCCTAGACCCTAGACCCTAGACCCTAAACCAAACCTATAGTAGCGAGACCCGACGGCACCGAGACCTTGAAGCCTTCCCTGCCTGGAGCGAGCTGTGAGTCGAAAGCCGGAGTCCTAAGCCGCCCAAAGCTGGTAGGCTCCTTCCTTAGGGTTTAGGGTTTAGGGTTGAGGGTTGAGGGTTGAGGGTTTAGGGTTTAGGGTTTAGGGTTTAGGGTTTAGGGTTTAGGGTTTAGGGTTGGAATCACTTGTTCAAACCTGTAAGTCCCAGAAGCATCGCAAGAATTGAGCCCAAGCCCCAAATCGGCCCTGAGCCTAAGGCTCCAATAGACTCTTACTTCAAGGTTGTTGGGTCCCAAAACAGCACTGAAGAAGGTTTTGGACAATCTTGAGCCTAAGGATAAGCCTAAACCCTAAACCCTAACCCCTAAACCCTAAACCCTAAACCCTAAACCCTAAACCCTAAACCCTGGGATTCACCTTCAGGCCTTGGCCTTCTCAGGGCTTGTAGCCGCGTCGTCCTCTCCAGGATCAGCAGTTCGACCCTGCGGACAGCATTGGATTGACAGCTCCTCAGTTGCTATTTAGGGTTTAGGGTTTAGGGTTTAGGGTTTAGGGTTTAGGGTTTAGGGTTTAGGGTTTAGGGTTTAGGGGTTTAGGGTTTATTGTTTAGGGTTTAGGAGGTTTAGGGTTTAGGAGGTTTAGGGTTTAGGAGGTTTAGGGTTTAGGAGGTTTAGGGTTTAGGAGGTTTAGGGTTTAGGAGGTTTAGGGTTTAGGAGGTTTAGGGTTTAGGAGGTTTAGGGTTTAGGAGGTTTAGGGTTTAGGAGGTTTAGGGTTTAGGAGGTTTAGGGTTTAGGAGGTTTAGGGTTTAGGAGGTTTAGGGTTTAGGAGGTTTAGGGTTTAGGGTTTAGGGTTTAGGGTTCTGAATTTCATGGTATGAGTGTGCATGGGGCGTTTCGGCCAGCAGAAAAGCTGCTGAAGCTTCAGGGGCGACCGACCCCAGGCGAGGTACGAAGCCTGTTGCAAAAAGGGTTTAGGGTTTAGGGTTTAGGGTTTAGGGTTTAGGGTTTAGGGTTCGGGGGCCTAGAAGGCTCTCCAGTGCAGGCCTTCACAGTCCTAATTTTATGCAAAAGGGTGGGCTTCGAAGCCCAAACAAGCGCTAACGTTTAATCCAAGCCAGCAGCCAGACACTTCTTTCCGTGTATGCTGAGCCCCGGGAGCTAATTTTGAGCTCCGGGAGCTAATTTTGAGCTCCGGGAGCTAATTTTGAGCTCCAAGAGCTAATTTTGAGCTCCGGGAGCTAAATTTGAGCCTTCGGGAGCTAATTTTGAGCCCTGGGCCCGCCCTAAAAACCCTAATATCTAGAAAAAAACGTTTCGCTCAAAACTTTCGCCCAAAACTTTCGCTCAAAACGTTTCGCTATTGTATCCACAATAAGAACATATTTTTGATTTCAATCATTCTAAATATTCCAGAAATTCCTTTAAAAAAAACCCAAAACCGTACCGTTCTCCCGTCCCGTCGTATCATCTGCCGTCCCCCCCCCCATGCCGACCCTAAAACCTAAAATCTAAAAACAAAACGTTTCGCTCAAAACGTTTCGCTCAAAACGTTATTGGGACCCAAACCCTATACAATTTCTATCAACCCTAAACCCTAAACCCTAAACCCTCAAGACAAAATAAATAGAAATTGTATGTGTTATCATTGAATTTCCCAAGTTATTTGTCTGAGCCCTAAATTCCTTTTGCCTAGTCACGGCTACGCAGTTTACACCTCCTTTGTCTGCTCGGATGCTCAATTTACTTAAACTCCTTTTTGCCTGGCCACGGATATTCAAATTTCCTTAAACCTGGGAGCTCTTTTCAGCATGGGAGCTAATTTTGAGCTTTGGGAGCTAATTCTGAGCCTTGGGAGTTAACTTTGAGGGAGCTAATTTTTTCTTCTGGGAATTAATTTTGAATTCTCGGAGCTAATTTTGAGGTCCGGGAGTTAATTTTGAGCTCCGGAGCTAATTTTGAGCTCCGGGAGCTAATTTTGAGGTTCGCGAGCTAATTTTGAGCTTTGGGAGTTCATTTTGAGCTTGAGCTTTGGGAGGAGCTAATTCTGAGCCCCTCATAAAATAACCAACCCAAAAAAGGGTTCCCTTACTATAAGATGGTTACTGTGCTACCAAGACAAGGATACGGCGGCGCTTGGTAAATTTCTCGGGACCCATAGACGGGACCCTTAATCATATTGACCTATGTATGCCTGACGGGTCCCTTTCGGCCGTTGATCTCAGATAATGCTGGCAGCCCCAAAGAGAAAGATCTGTGAAGGACGTCGAAGGGTTCATGGGCTAGACCCAGTAACTGAGAAACTCTGAAGATTGTAGCTCAGGATCCCTGCTGCGTTTTCTTACTTAGCCAATAGTTGAACTTTAACTTTTTTGGGCTTCCTTATTTAGTAGGAAAAATCAAGTTTAACCTTCTTCCCCTTGGTTATCGGAGAAGTAAAGTTCTAGTACAAGCAAAATTCCTTCATTCAGGCCTAGTTGTAGAGTAGGTAACCCTTAACCTTTTTTGGGTAGTATAATCCGCTTATAATCTCAAAGGTTAACCGTTGATTCCCCCAGGTTACTGGACAACTAAGCAGGTTCCTTTCCTAAACCCTAAACCCTAAACCCGAAACCCTAAACCCTAAACCCTAAACTCCTTCGTTCAAGGGGCGTTGTCGTGTCTTGCCTGGGCGGGTTCGAAGGCCTTCCAAGTCCTCTAAAGTGATTGGTTTAGGGTCCCGAAACCCTAAACCTTAAACCCTGAACTCTAAACCCTAAACCCTAAACCCTTTAGGGTGCGGCATACAATCCGTAGTGAAGGGCCGAAGCACCTGGCACGGTGCAACCCTTGCTTGAACCCCGCTTTTCAAGGCAAGGCCCAGATCCTCTGTGTCAGAAGCCCATGGCTTCATCCACTGCGCACACCAACTTCATTGTCTTACTGCTTCTTAGTAGGGAATGAGGGATTTTGGCGCCCTGGCTGATCTTCTTAAGGTTTCTGACGGGGATGTCATCTGCCTACTTCCCTACCCCGCGCTGCAGGTCAGTATCCAGGGAATCTCGAAGGTCGACCTGGTGAATTTCTACTGGGGCGGCCATGTGAGCGTGCGAATGCAGGCGCCGACTAATAGGGGTCGGAATAATTACTAATCGTGTTTCCTTAGGATCCCTTTGTAATTGTACTGCTGTTCTCCGAGATGTTCAAGCGCAATGCCCTCTAAATGTTGCTGCTTTTCAGGCCGCTCTCGTGGCGGTCATGCTATCGTGGGCACTAAGAACCCCCCAAAGCCCTATTCTAATTACTCAGGCCCCTACATAACCTGTTTTCTGGACACTGTTCCCGACATGGCCATGGACCTCGGAACCTACCGGTTTAGGGTTTAGGGTTTAGAGTTTAGAGTTTAGGGTACTTGGAACATGGTTCAAGGATGATTAGAGCTGGGATGCCCTTTAGTATGCCTTTTGGGGGTATGGGGATAAGGGTTTAGGGTTTAGGGTTAAGGATGTTCCATCTTTTTGGAGGAGCTTACTGTAAACCCTAAACACCCCCCTTGCCAGGTCTCCCCCGCAGTGTACCTCCGCGACTTCGGCGCCTTAACCCGGAATTTTGAGAGAGTTGGCAGGGTGCGTTGTGTCCATGCCAATCTGACCCTAAACCCTTAACCCAAACCCTAAACAACCGGTGCTCATGCCCCCTATGGTCTTACTTCCAGGCTCAGGGAGCTCGGGAAGTAGAGCATGACTCACTTTATGGTTACTTGGTAGCCCAGTGGTACCCTTCACCTGCTGTTTGTTTCTGGGTTCCGTATGAAGTCACCAACCCGAAAAAGGGTGCCCTATTCGAAGATGGTTCCTGGGCTACCAAGGTTAGGACAGCCCGAGTTAGGTTCTCGCCCTACTTAACGGCCACTTACTAATCTTCCTGTGCCCTCATGTAGCCTTCGCCCGCAATGCAATCCTAAGCCCTAAGCCCGAAACTTCAAAACAGGCGCACTGGTTGTGGGGATAGGCACGCCTCCCAGAAAACCCTAAACCCTAAACCCTTGGGTCTGCAATCTTGGTGTGGGGCAGCTCCCCACGCCCCATCCCACGAGGGGTCGCAGAGGTGTCTCAGGATTCCCAGAAGGTCAGGTAACGCGAAGGAGCTTGAGGTGGATGGGTGCTTGAAAGCTTAGGGCTTAGAGTATAGAGCCTATAAGGTTTATGGATTGAGTGGACTTCATATATCTCTTAAGGTTATGCTAAATTCTTTGGGGCTGGTGGGCATTATCCCCGTGGCTTGAGAAACTGCTTGACTGAGAGCTAAAAACCCGAAACCCTAAACCCTAAACCCTCAGCGCTAAACCTTAAACCCTACACCCTACACCCTAAACCCTAAACCCTAAGCCCTAAGCCCTAAACCCCTAAACCCTAAACCCTCAACCCTCAACCCTCAACCCTAAACCCTAAACCCTAAACCCTAAACCCTAAACCCTAAACCCTAAACCCTAAACCCTAAACCCTAAACCCTAAACCCTAAACCCTAAACCCTAAACCTCACCGAGGGCCCTTCCTGGATGCTGCTACCAAGACAGCGCTGCAGGAGGTGATTGAAGCTGGCAGCAAGAGAGGCTGAAGGGCTTAGGGTTTAGGGTTTAGGGTTTAGGGTTTAGGGTTTAGGGTTCAGGGTTTAGGGTTTCTTTGGAACTCCAGAAGTGCATGGTAGGGTTATAAGTAGGGTAACTATGGCTACGGCCTCAGTCAGACCACTTATATAGCCTAACTTTTAAGCACCCGTGAACCCCCTAAACCCTCTAGTCCCCGCAATAACCACCGCCCAACAACACTAAACCCTAAACCCTAACCCCTAAACCCTAAACCCTAAACCCTAAACCCTAAACCCTAAACCCTAAACCCTAGACCCTAGACCCTAGACCCTAGACCCTAAACCCTACCTTGACTCGAACACGCACCTTGGTTGCAACATCCATGCAGGGCTCGGGCGAACAGATCCCTCAGCCTTGCAGACTTCAACAACTCCCTGTCCTTCCAGGGACCTACATGAAACAGGGTTCATACTACTGTTCTTGGTGAGTGTAGATATGGTTCCTTTTAAATATTTGTGAGTGTGTATATTGGGTGTCCTTTTGGGGATACAAGAAGATTTCACGTAATTATGGGGCCCTTAGGGGCTCCCAAAACACAACACAGTATTTCGGATTTTCTGCTTCCTGGCGTACAGAGCTTGGAGCTTTGCTCCATGAGTATGGGACACCCTGGCCCCTAAGCCCCCTCAAGTACACCTGCCTGACTGTCAACCCATGCCATACGCCCTCTGATCTTGCCATGAAAGGTTAGCGCTCATGCATTTGCGGCAATATGATGGGCATGTAGGAGTATATACTTATGTCCTAGGGTCGTCTACGTGCCAGACGCCACATCTAAGCCATATGCAGCTCATGTAGTAGAATGGCTGAGGGGTCCATGGAACAAGCCCCTAAACCCTAAACCCTAAGCATTCATCAAGAACATCATCAACGAGAGCCCAGGAAGCAGGTTCACAGGTGATGTCTTGGGCCTCTTCAGGGTTTTCGCGGTTGTTTTAGGGAGTAAAAGGAGTTAGGGCCTTCAGGGTGTAGAGTTTTATGGTTTTATCATAGGAGTTCCACGCACCCCTAAACCCTAACCCCAGGATGCACCCAATGTGTCGGCGGAGATGACGTTGAGACTGGAAGCAGCGCTGGCCCGGGAGCTTGAGGCACCTAGCTCACGCGACCGTCTAGAACCCCCCCACCGCATTCAGCCGTCTTCCTTTTTTTTTGAGCCCTAAACCCTAAACCCTAAACCCCAAACCCCAAACCCTAAGAAGCAACCCTAATCAACCCCAGTGAGGATCAAAGGGCACCATAACGCACATGTTTCTTCCTTCGGTTGCGGGCAAGCTAAGTCTACTCATCCCTGTCTTCACTTGTTTCTTTTAAAGCAAGATAGGAGTCCAGGCTCCCGTCAAAGAGGGTTTAGGGTTTAGGGTTTAGGGTTTAGGGGTTTAGGGGTTTAGGGTTTAGGGGGGCACGCATCAGTTTCAGGATCTGCATGGCAGGTCTTGTGGGAGAAGAGGCTCAGGATGTAGGGAGTTCTCAGTTTGCGACGCGGACCGCCGTGAACACTAATAGACCCTAGGCACGCGACTTTCAGAAGACCGGGGCCGAAACCCGCCTTTGAACTTCAACGCTTCCGTCCTGGTTTAAGGGAGTTTAGGGTATAGACAGGGTTTAGGGTTTAGGGCGAACCCTATACTTCCAGGGGCCTAATCATTAGGTTCCGAGAGCCCCTTAAGGAGCCCGCATTTAAGTCCCCGTAGGATAGGGTAAGGTGCTGACCAACGCGAAGCCCGCGACTTCTGTACGTAAGCTCCGCCACAATGATCGTTTGGGGGGTAACGCTTAGCTTAGTAAGTGAGTGAGTACATTTACACTTTTTGGGATACTATAACCCCCCTATAGAACTGAAAGTGTACACTTTGTTCGGGGGCTATGAACTCAGCAACTAAGTTAGGGTACCCTTAACCCTGAACCCTAAACCCCCCTAACCCTGAACTTTACACAGCTTGAAACACCGCGGGGAACCCCGAACCGGGACTAGGGTTTAGGGTTTGGGGTATATATAGGGTTGAGGGCAACCCTAAGCGCTACAATATTTCAAAGCTTTAAACCCTGTAACTTTGTCATAGTTGGGTATCATTTTTCAGGGTACTTAAACCCAATAAGGAATTTAATTTACATGTTCAATATGATCCCCACCATGAACTAGGTAACCCTAAGCCCTACACCCAGATCTGCGCCCGGGCCTTGGGGCCTCCACGTCGCTGCAGGCATGGCGCCAAGGCGAGGCCGGCAAAGCGGACGACGCGCCTCTCGTTTTTCAATCTGTCAGAATGCTTGGTAGCCCAGTGGTACCTCTTACGCGTTTTTGGTTCTGCCCTTATAAGGTCACCAACCCCAAAAAGGGTACTCCATTCATAAGATGGTGTCTGGGCTGCCAAGACCTTTTGCCCTGTTTAAGGGGTTAGGCTCCCTCCTAGAAAGCTCCACTGAACCAACTAGGGCGCCCTTTTTGTTCCTACTTCGGCATTCCGGGTTTGGGGGGTTGGGGCGGTTCAGAAACCTTTGAAGTTCTGGCTCAGACAAGGGCATCTTCCCTATCCCTCAATTGACACCTTACTTTGGGGGTCCTTTGGGGGTTCATCCTAAACTCTACACCCTAAACCCTTAACGTTCTGAGCAGTCGGTCCCTGGAAGACTTGAGAAACGATCAGGCTCAGGCACTTTTAGGGCTGAGGGCTTGCGGTTTGGGCTTAGGGATCCTCACAGGATGTGGCTGTGGCTGAGAGATGTGTTTTCTTTTCCTGGCAGTCGTTCACAGCCCCGTCGCAAGACATACGGGATCCTCGGCTGTGTGAGGTTTGGGCCTCTTCCGGAACAGCCTGACGCTGAGAATCTGATGCGCGCCTTGGATTGGAGATCTAGAGATGAGCTCCCACCCAGCTACTATAGCGGCGGCATAGACCCGCCAAAGATAGGAATAAGATAGGGAATTTGATTGGATAGCATCAGCTACGGTTCCGGGTGACAGGTTGCCTAGGTGACCCAACCTTCTTTAGGCCCAAACCCTAAACCCTAAACCCTAAATACCGGTCTTGTAGTGCCTTGGCTTCCTGATCCCAGACGTCTCTGCCTGAGAGGCGCCCACTTCCTGAAGTTGTAAGGTTTGGGGCTTAGGAGGGTTTAGGGTTTAGGGTTTAGGTTTACGGTTTACGGTTTACGGTTTAGGGTTTAGGGTTTAGGGTTTAGGGTTTAGGGTTTAGGGTTTAGGGTTTAGGGTTTAGGGTTTTAGAAGGTCCCTACCAGCCTGGATGCAAAAGGAGGCCCCCACACCCATAGAACTCTTATGTCATCGGAACCTCCTCGTCTTCGTCATCTCGGTAGTCCCTTGGGGGCCCATTTGTTCTAGGGTTTAGGGTTTAGAGTTTGGGGTTTAGGGTTTGGGGTTTAGGGTTTAGGCTTTAGGGTTGGCCTCTCAGCCGATCTCACGAAAGCTCTTTAGAAGGGTATGAAGGGCCAACCTAGCGAACTCCACCATCCATCAACGAGCTTCTTTGTGTTGAACTCTGGGCATGGCATCACCAGAAGACTAAACCCTAAGTCGAGAAGTGTACCGAAAGCCTAAACCCTAAGCCCCCGCCAAACCCTCAACCCTAAACCCTAAACCCTAAACCCTAAACCCTAAACCCTAAACTGCCTTTGCCGGTTTGTTGTAGGCAACGGGTCCCGTGCTCCCCTTGAGCTGCTTGAATGTCCAGTGGGGCTTAGGCGGGCTTAGGGGTTCAGACAGGGTTTAGGGTTTAGGGTTTAGGGTTTTTGGGTTTAGGGTTTAGGGTTTAAGGTTTGCGTAGGGTTTAGGGTTTAGGGTTTAGGGTTTAGGGTTTAGGGTTTAGGGTTTCGGGGCCTTGTAAGGTTTAGAGCTTGGGGTTTGACAGTCGGGCTTGGTGCAGCTTCTATGGTCTGTGCACTAGGGTTTAGGGTTTAGGGTTTAGGGTTTCTCTTTGAGTTCCAACGGAAGGCTACATGCGCATCGCCGTCGTCAACTGGCACCGGGAGATGGGTGAGGCGATGTCTAGATCTACCAATACAATCCCCAAATTGAGAAAAAACTGGTTCTTAGTAGGGAATGAGGGAATTAGGGGCAATACATGTATACATCTTTATACCCTTTAAGGGATTTTGCAGGGCCCTCATTCCCTCATTTCCTTCCAATAACCAGCCAGAAAATTCCAATATGGGGGGTTTCCGAAATTTGGGGGTACCTTTTGGTTCCCTTATTCTCAGGGAATCCTACTATTTGAGCTTTTTAAGTCACCACCATATTGAGCATAATCGAACGACACCCGCCCAAGATACCCAATATAGTTCAAAGGCCCTTGGCTTGAAACCCTAAACCCCACCCCTGGGTTCAACCTGTGTCGTGCTCTGCTTTTTGTCGAGCCTTGCATCGCATGCTCGACTGCTAGACATCCGTCCGAAAGGTCCCCTAGCTTTGGGTTACAGGTTTAGGACAAAAAGGTTTTAGGCTTTTTAGGGCTCAGTGCTTGTGGGGTTCAGGGTTGACATAGCCTCGTGCTGGCCGAGCCAGAAAAGCTTCAAGGGTTCGAGGCTGGGGGTGCCCTCATGCTCATGATGCTCGCACGCTGGAGCTTCCACGTGGCAAGGGCTTCGGCCTTGAGCGACTGATGCTCATGATGCTCACACACGCCGTTCAAATGCCAGGGCCAGCATCATGAGCATCAGCCAGCCAGCTTTTGGCAATCACCCAGCCAGGCCCTGGGCAATTGAAGCATCAGCCGCTCAAGCTGCTGGCATGGAAAGCCCCAGAAAAGGAGCATCACGAGCATCAGCCGCCCACACACTGCACGCAGAGCCACATGGTCGGCGAGCATCATGAGCCTCAGCCGGCCGAGCGCTTGGCCATCAGCCAGACGAGCCCTTGACAATGGAAGGCGCGCGACAGCATCATGAGAATCAGCCGCTCAAGCCGTTGGCACGGAAAGCCTCAGAAAAAGAGTATCACGAGCATCAGCTGCCCACACTCCACGTAGAGCCTTCTGCTAAACAAACATCATGAGCATCAGCCGCTCAAGCCGTTGCCACGTAGAAAGCTTCAGCGGGTGAGCATCACGAGCATCACGAGCCCGCAGTACGTCAGGCCCCATGGTGGACCCTCGCCCGCCCCAAAGGGTGCCTTGCAAGCTGCAGGTTAGGGTTTAGGGTTTGGGGTTTGGGGTTTAGGGTTTAGGGTTTGGGGGTTGGGGGTTGAGGGTTTAGGGTTTAGGGTTTAGGGTTGAGGGCTTGGGGGATTTTTCTGGAGGCTTTACAGGGGGATACGCAGCGTTTGTAAGGGATACCTTTGAGGTTTCCAGAAAGGTTTTACAGGGTTTTTGAAGGGCCTTCTTTAGAAAGGATTTATAAAGGATCTTACTGGGGGTCAAAGGATTTCAATATGGTCAGTTCTCAAAAAGAGGATCCCTTGTTGGGTGCCCTAAACCCTAAACCCAAACCCTAAACCCTAGACCCTACAGACACTTATTTGTGTTGATCCTGGCAGGAACCATACCCCAAGATCTCGGGTGACACGAAGCTTTGCAACTTGGCGGACCCTTTTTGGGAACTGTGAAGGTTTTCGGGTTTAAGGCTACAACCCTCAACCTCAACCCTATAAAGGCCATTGGGTACTGCAAAGCAAGTAGGGTTGTAAGTACCCTTTTTATAACCATAGTGACCCTACTTATACAAGTTGAACCCTCCAAGCAAACTCCCCGCTCTTCCTTAAACCCTAATCCCCAAACCCCAAACCCTAAACCCTAAACCCTAAACCCTAAGCTCTACTCGGGGTTGCGGGCCATGAGCGGTCTCTTCGGCGTCCCAGGGCTCAATGCAGAGGGGAAGATGATCACGTGCAGCTGGGACGTGGAATCTCTGTGGTACAACATCCCCAGCTTGCTCCCTGGCTGATTTAGGGTTTCAAGGGTTTAGGGTTTAGAGGGTTTATAGGGTTTATAGGGTTTAGGGTTTAGGGTTTAGGGGAGCTTGGGGAGTTGCACTTGAAGGCCCGGGAGATTTCTTTTGAGCCGGGTTTTCAGGATTCAGCATACAGGGGTTTTCGACAATAGGGGTACCCTTTTTTGGGGTCCCTTGGGATTCTACTCCATGTTGGGATATAAACGGGGTATCTCTATTTTGGGAAATGCCCATATAGGGAAGGGACCAGGCGTCCAGCACGGGCATGTGTCTTGCGCAGGGAGTCTTACAATTCGCCACTGCCATGATCTCGGGCTCTGAGGTGCGAGAGAAAACAGGCTTGGGTTCCCACAACGAGTGTGATGGGGTTTAGGGTGTAGGGCTTAGGGTGTAGGGTTTAGGGTTTGCGCTTAAGGCTGAATCTTGGATTTCCACTAAGGGGTCGTATGGGGCTTAGGGCATCAGGCCTTCGTGGTCAGCGACCAAGGCGTACCTTTCCCTTTGACACGAATGAGATGTGCGCCATCTTTTGGACGAGGCACCTTTGCCCAAAGAAGCCTCATCATCAACAAATGACAGCTTGGGGTCTTCACTCCCTCCACCCCACCTCCCCACCCAAGCCTCCCCCCCCCCCTCCGCCCCCCCCGGCCCCCGAAAAAAAGAAGCATAATTAGTGAACTGCGAGCCACTGAACACGGGGTTGCAGTCCTACACGGCTTGTGGTTGGTGGGTGGGGGCGGGGGTTGGGGGCCGGGAATTCCGGGGTTCCGGGGTGAAAACTGCTCAGTTTCGCATAGTAGCAGATGCGTTTTCCGCTGCTGCTTGCACCAGCCGAGGGTTTTCAGTGGGATAGAGACTCAAGCTGACATCCTCATAATAGAGTTGATACCACCTCCAGATCTATTCAGAACCCGAACCCTAAGTTCGCCGACACCCTGAACCCTAAACGACTTGTAAGTAGGGTCATAAGTAGGACAAATATGCTGATAACCCTTTCAGGGTACACATATCCCCATGATGAGTGCCCTCACCTCCAAGTACACCGTAGACCCTATTAAACCCTTACTGATTCTCAGTCCGGTATGAGGGAATGAGGTACCGTCTAAACAACCCCTTAAAGGGAGAAAAGGTGGGGTACATGTATATAAGGCACCTAATTCCTTCATTCTCCACTAAGAAACCCTAAACCCTCAACCCTAAACCCTAAAACCCTAAACCCCAAACCCTAAACCCTAACGTTGTTTGCAGTGCGTCTCTGAGTCAGCTAGGCGGGTGGCAAAAGAGAAACCCTAAACCCTAAACCCTAAACCCGCGTTGGGCTCTTTGGGAAGCCTCAGGGTGTGGCGCAAAGCCCGCATCACCGAGTTCGGGCGGTCGTACGGCTTGGGCACGAGCTTGCAGGCCGGAGAGGGTTTAGGGTTTAGGGTTTATAGGGTTTAAGGTTTAGGGTTTAGGGTTTAGGGTTTAACCCTAGCGTTTAGGGTTTAGGGTTTAGGAAAAAAAGGTCCCTAAAGCCCAAGCCCAAGACCATATACCCTGAACCCACGGCATGATGCTTCTTGAGGGTTTCGGGTCGTTTTGGGTTTGTGACTCCCAGAGACTCCTCGAAAGGCTTACGGAGATCACCGTACAGCTTAAGTACTTTTTTTGGGGGGAGGGGTTGGGGGGGGGGGTGGGGGGCGGGGGGGTCGTCAATTACAGGCTGTCGGTGCGGCTTCGGGTTTAGGTGACTTGCTGTGTGTCCTGGGTTTGTGTCTGAGATTTGTGTGGTAAGGGGTGGTGATACACTCACATGTGCCTTCTTTGGGCGGATTTCCATTAAGCGCATGCTGTCTTCCTTGCCGAGTACTCCAGAGTTAGCTTATGTGATGTAGTGACTAATAAGTGTCGCGACAGATTGAGGCAGTTGTCATGAGTACACATGCCCTCGGTCAGGGGTCTTTGCTGTGCACATGTTCCAGCGGGGGTCTTCTGGACGGTGTGTCGAATCCTGTTGCAGAGAGGGTTTACATGTCTGGAACATCGCTAGGTGGTATTCTCGTACCCCCCGCCGATGTTTCGGGGTGCTTAGTTCTGGCGTGAGGGCTCATGTGGGGAATGCCAAGCTTGTACTCCCGTCGATGTGGTTCATGCTTTGGGAAGGTGCCACTTTTTAAGCCACAGCCACGCTGTGGCGGTCAGAAGAGATCCTGCTGACACATGCTTTTGATAAATGTGCGCTGTGCACGGGCACGCCTTCATCCAGAGAAAGCGGTCGGACGATTCCAAAACCTGTGATCTACATCCGAAGCCCTGCCTTTTTAACCCAAACCCTGTTTTTTTGGTATGGTTCTTCGTACAACAAGCCTTGTAGGATAACCCTAAACCCTGTAAGCCCTAAAGCGCCACCCTAAACCCGAAACCCTTACCCCTTAACCCTTAAACCCTTAAACCCTCTAAACCCTAAGCCCCGAAACCCCAAACCCTAAACCCTAAACCCTAAACCCTAAACCCTAAACCCTAAACCCTAAACCCTAAACCCTAAACCCTAAACCCTAAACCCTAAACCCTAAACCCTAAACCCTTCCGGAGGAGTTCGACGTCTTGGGCTTCCGTGGCGATGCAAAGCCTCGGCCTGGCTGGGATCCCTACATCTGCGACCCCGGGCCCGTACTATGGCGCCCTTAGGGTTTAGGGTTTAGGGTTTAGGGTTTAGGGTTTAGGGTTTAGGGTTTAGGGTTTAGGGTCTAGAGTTTAGGGTTTAGGGTTTAGGGTCGACGGTCTATGGTCTATTTGTATTGCAGTAGTGAGTGTGATGCTGGAACCGGGCTGCTGTGAACCGAGGCCTGCTGTAAGAAGCTAAACCCTAAACCCTAAACCCTAAACCCTAAACCCTAAACCCTAAACCCTAATGTATTTACATAAAGCCCAATTGAGTATCAGACATATTGTGTATATTCAGGTGCTAAGGGGAGTATTGTGCAGGCAAAATCCTAAGCTTGTAGACAGTAAGCATAGTAATATTATTGATGACTTTTGTTATTACTACTACATATCGATTCGTTCAGCATTTAGATATTCAAGTTTATATTGAAATCTTTATGGTTATATATAGATATGTATGTATATGCATATATAAATGTAATATGTTTATTTGTTCTTCTGTATTTGTTCTTCTATTAAACGGTTGTAGATAAGACTGTATAATCTGCATATATATATACAGGCATGTACAAATATGTACTCACGTTCATATTCAATCCCCCCCCCCCCCCAGTTTCGTTTCCGGGCTGATGTAGTTGTTAGCTTCTTGTATCTTGTCTTGCTGTTGGTCTTACACTCTTTTTATTACTTGTGCTCACTTCATCGCCCGGCTAGGCGGGTGGCGAAACATCACCCCCTCCGGCTCTCCCCCCTGAAAGCCTGAACCCTACATGGTCCAGACAACTTGCACCCTCAAAACTCCCGCAGCCCTGCACCCCTCAAGCTGCTTAACCCCTACAAAAAAAACACCTGTCAACCCTACGATTCCTACAAGCCTTGCAAACCCTCTGAGCCCTGACAACCCTTTAAGCCCTCCCAAAGGAGAGCAACATCGTACCCAACAGAGCGCGGCCCGGTGAGCTCATGTTCTACGGCCGCTTTTGGGCCTCCTGGGCCGGAAGAGCGGTTTAGGGTTTCGGGTTTCGGGTTTAGGGTTTAGGGTTTAGGGTTTGGGGTTTGGGGTTTGGGGCTTAGGGCTTAGGGCTTAGGGCTTAGGGTTTAGGGTTCAGGGTTAGGGTTCAATTAGGGCTTAGGGCTTGGGGTTTAGGGTTTAGGCAACTTGGGGGCTTCTGGGGATCTTGAAATTCTTGTGTGTTTTTTTATCGTCGTTTTAAGGCTTTTTGTAGGGTTTACAGGGTTTATCGGTTTTGTCGTGTTTGTGCGTTGAGAAGTTCTTGTATTTGCTTAGGGTATTCAGGGATTTGGGCTTTCATGGCTGCTCCGATCACCAGATGTGCAGTCTCAGCAGTTGTGGTTATGTCTTCTTTGTCACCTGCACGGCATCCACCACGCCTCCGGATGGACAAAACTGGCTTTTGTTGGGTGAGGGGCTTGCCCAGGTCACTTTTTGGTGAGGCTTTCCAGCCCGCCAAAACCAAAACAAGCCCCCCCACCCCCCCCCCCCCCTTCCCCCCTTCTCGCATGTTCCGCCTGAGGGCTTTGGGACCCTAAACCCTAAACCCTAAACCCTAAACCCTAAACCCTAAACCCTAAACCCTAAACCCTAAACCCTAAACCCTAAACCTCCCAAACTTAACCTGTTCATGGCTGAGGCTGCACGGGTTCCGGCTTAGTGCTGTGCAATCTTCAGCCCCATCCGAGCTCCAAACCTCTGAGACTTCGGGTTTAGGGTTTAGGGTTTAGGGTTTAGGGTTCAGGGTTCAGGGTTTAGGGTTTAGGGTTTAGGGCTTCCCGCAACTTCTGTCTGTAAGACCCGTACTTGGGGGGTTCGTGGGCACTTATAAGTAGGATACAAAGCAGGGTAAACGTTGTCACAACCTTAGTTTGGGTACTTATAATAACTCTACTAGTAGAAGTACCCAAACGAACCACCAAGTAGCCACACAAGAATCCGTGACATGTGTACTGCATGCAGTCAAGCCCTTAAGTCCCTGAAGCAAACCCTAAACCCTAAACCCTAAACCCTAAACCCTAAGCCCCAAACCCCAAACCCCAAACCCCTAAACCCCTAAACCCCTAAACCCTAAACCCTAAACCCTAAGCCCTAAACCCTCAACCCTAAACCCTAAACCCTAAACCCTAAACCCTAAACCCTAAACCCTAAACCCTAAACCCTAAACCCTAAACCCTAAACCCTAAACCCTAAACCCTAACCCTATCGACAAATCCTCAGGTACGCCGCAAGCCGTTCTATTTCGTTGTGGCTCTGCTCTTCCCCACCGCCGTGGTGACATTTATGGGTGCCAGCCACCTGCCCTCAAGCAGGGTTTAGGGTTGAGGGTTTAGGGTTTAGGTAGTGCAGAGCCTGGGTTCAAAAAAGGGTTTAGGGTTTTAGGGTTCAGGGTTTAGGGGATGCCATGGATGATTCCCAAAAAATACTTGGCTACTAGTAGGCTTAGGGCTTAGGGTTTAGGGTGTAGGGTTTAGGGTTTAGGGTTTCGGGTTTAGGGTTTAGGGTTTAGGGTTTCGGGTTTAGGGTTTAGGGTTTAGGGTTTAGGGTTACTAGTAGGCTTAGGGCCTGACTGAGGCGCCATCCTCATCGCGTCGGGCGAAGCTCCGAACTCCATCGTACTCGGAGGCTTGACCCTTAGCCCTAAACCCTAAACCCTAAACCCCTAGACCCTTAGCCCTAAACCCTAAACCCTAAACCCCTAGACCCCTAGACCCTTAGCCCTAAACCCTAAACCCTCAAGCCCCTGCAACTTGAAATTAGTCAAGAGTCGAAAACGAAACTCCTCGAAACTCCCCGAAACTTCCCCGGACCTGAACCCTGAATAATTCGAATAGACCCTAAACCCTATAAACCCTATAAACCCTATAAACCCTATAAACCCTATAAACCCTATAAACCCTATAAACCTTATAAACCCTATAAACCCTATAAACCCTAAGCCGTTTAAACCCGAAGCCAGAGTTTCGGCAGCTCAGCCGCGCAGATCCGAAGCCCACATGCGCCTGTGGAGCCCAACCTCTTCAACTCTAAGGTCCGACAACGCGAAGCCCTAAATTCTGAACCCGGAGACCTCTTAAGGGCTTTTTAGGGTTTAGGGTTTAAGGTTTAGGGTTAGGGTTTAGAGTTGAGGGTTTAGGGTGTATAGAAGGGAAGCTCGCTGGTGCGAAAAGCACCCGGGCCGCTCGCTTGCGTTAGCATGTAGTCCCACCTCAACCACCCAAACTATTCTGATTTAGGGTTTAGGGTTCACCCCCCAAACCCCCCTCACGGGGGGCTTCTTGCTGTTTACGTCTTTCAGTAGGAAATGCAGAACCCGGAGACCTCTTGAGGGCTTTTTAGGGTTTAGGGTTTAGGGTTAGTGTTTAGTGGTTAGTGTTTAGTGTTTAGGGTTAGAGTTTAGGGTTTAGGGTTGCCGGCAGCCTCCAAAGTCCGCTGCTCAAAAGGGTTTAGGGTTTAGGGTTTCCACAACACGGACCCGAGCCCAGGCGAGTCCCCGCTGTCCCTGGTCGCGGGGCTGATGCTGACCATGGTCGCCATGAAGTTCTCCTACACCGAGCCAGGGCCAACGTTTAGGGTTTAGGGTTTGGGGTTTGGGGTTTGGGGTTTAGTATTTGGGGTTTTTGGGGTAGGGTTTAGGGTTTGGGGTTTGGGGTTTGGGGTTTGGGGTTTAGGGTTTGCCCCAATTACACACTATGTACGGGGATCCAGGGGATGACCCGGTAAAATTCGAGAAGAGATTCGCAGCACAAGGATGACGCGCACAAACACTCGACCCTAAACCGCATCCCAGCAGACAACCGAAAGCTTTTTGCACTTAGGGCTGATAATATAGGGTTCCTTTAGGCTCAAAATAGCCCAAAGACCTTTGTTTGGGCCCAAAACCCTAAACTAGGGGTTTTGTGTGGTGACATAAGCGGTGGTGTTTCGGCGTTCTGCTCCGGGGCTTCATTTGGGGTGGCCCCCTCTCAGAGATTCTACGCCTTCCCTAAACCCCATAGCGCAAGGATTTGGCGAAAGTTGCAGTTCGTGGGCTGTGCATTCCTGGACGTCCCGGCGCAGACAAAAAGTCCCCTAAAACATACCCTTATTTTGGCGGGGAGTTCCCTTTGTGGGGATGCCATTCTTTTGAGGGCAGCAAAGGAGTGCCCCTATTTTGGGACATACCCATTTCGTCTCGGCAAACTGCCCTAAACCCTAAACCCTAAACCCTAAAGCCTAAACCCTAAAGCCTAAAGCCTAAAGCCTAAAGCCTAAAGCCTAAACCCAAGGACAGCGTACCAAAGCTTGGCTACCTCACCATGCTCGACCTCTACATCGCTGCCGCTTGGCCAACCCGATTTAGGGTTTTAGGGTTTTGAGGGTTTTTAGGGGTTTTTAGGGTTTTAGGGTTTTAGGGTTTTTAGGGTGTTAGGGTTTTAGGGTTTGAGGGTTTTGATGGTGTGTAGGGTTTTAGGGTTTTAGGGTTTGGAGGGGTTTAGGGTTTTTGGGCGTTTTAAGGTTTTGAGGGTTTTTAGGGTTTTAGGGTTTTTAGGGTTTTGGGGTTTTCGGGTTTGAGGGGTTTAGGGTTTTTGGGGGTTTTAGGGTTTTGAGGGTTTTTAGGGTTTTTAGGGTTTTTAGGGTTTTTAGGGTTTTTAGGGTTTTTAGGGTTTTTAGGGTTTTTAGGGTTTTTAGGGTTTTTAGGGTTTTTAGGGTTTTTAGGGTTTGGGGGTTTTAGGGTTTTGAGAGGTTTAGGGTTTTTGGGGGGTTTTAGGGTTTTGAGGGTTTTTTTTGGTTTTTAGGGTTTTAGGGCTTTTAGGGTTTTTAGGGTTTTTAGGGTTTTGAGGGTTTTAGGGTTTTAGGGTTTTTAGGGTTTTGAGGGTTTTGAGGGTTTTAGGGTTTTGAGGGCTTTTAGGGTTTTGAGGGTTTTTTTAGGGTTTTGAGGGTTTTTTAGGGTTTTTTAGGGTTTTAGGGTTTTAGGGTTTTAGGGTTTTTGGGTTTTTGGGTTTTAGGGTTTTAGGGTTTTAGGGTTTTAGGGTTTTAGGGTTTTAGGGTTTTAGGGTTTTAGGGTTTTAGGGTTTTAGGGTTTTAGGGTTTAGGGTCCAGGGTTTGGGGTTTTGTGGTTGGAGGGCTTAGGAAGTTGCACGAGAATTCGTGAAGATATGTCGGGGTTGATCTACATGTCCTTCTAGGAACTTACTTATTTAGGGTTTCTCGGCTTGCAAGGGAAAAAATCGGGCCATTTTCGGCATGGGTACACCTTGATCAACTCCCAGAAGAGGGTTGTCGCAGCTTGGGCAGGGCAATCCCCTATCCAGGGGTTGATCTGAAAAATATGATCTGTAGGGCCACCGAATCCTTGTATACTCTTTATAAAAGGACAGGCATGACCTTCATGCGCACAAAAATCATGTCGGATCTTTACCCTAAGGGTCCATGTACCTTGTTCTTGTCTACTTAGGCCCCAAAGTCCTTATATAGTAAGTACTTTAAGGCCCAAGTATTCCCTATTTAGGTACATGGACCCGTAGGGCTATACAAGTAAACCCTAAACCCTAAACCCTAAACCCTAAACCCTAAACACCTACCCTAGCATGGACCCCCCAGGTCAGCTTCTTCTTTCTTACCGCCGCGGCCCTGCTGATCGTCCTGCTGCCGGAGGACAGTGGAAGGTTTTTTGGGTTTAGGGTTTAGGGTTTTAGGGTTTTGGACAGGCTTCAGAGGTCCGTGTTAAAAAAGGGTTTTGGGGTTTGGGTTTTGGGTTTAGGGTTTTGGGTTTTGGGTTTTGGGAGCGTCGTACAGCCCCAATTGAAGAATCAGAATGTAGCCTAAAAAGTTTCATGCCAGAAGGTATGGTCTTCCACAAAGTTTCTCTTGACCCTAGCTGTAGCAACTACCCCACAAAGAATAGGATGTGCAGTCCTTTTTGTACTCTGCTGCTTTTTCCCGAGACGCTAAACCCCAAACCCCAAACTCTAAAGCCCTTTAAGGTAGCTACGCTCTTTGTGGTGCTTTACTGTAACTTTGGATCCTTAGCCTTTTTGGGTTTATTGGGTTTCTTAATAAGGCAGCTGAAAGTTTATTTTTTTACTATTAAATGCAGCCAAGCGCTGGAGGCTAGGTTCAGCCGCGAAAAGTTTATGGAGGAGTCGCTGCGGGATCTTCGCGTGCCCTTGGCGGAGTAGAACTGAAGGGACCAAGTCTAATGGCTTATGGCCATACTTTGTGGGACCCGGAGTAGGCGCTTATTCCCTTCGTTTACCGTTTAGGTTCCCTTATAATCCCCTTTAAGCCAAACAGGGTGCCCTTGTTACACCTTGGTTACTCTTGGGTCTAGCCCTTTCGGATTTGCGGTGGCGGAGGGAGGCGGGGCACCTCGACTGACCACAACCACAACCCCATAGCCCTAACTTCTGGGAAGCAGCACGCCACACTTGAAGGTTCACATTCGGGTACTTCTAAGCGGGGTTTAAGGCTCGTATCCGTTTTTTGGGTGATTGCATTACATGGGGGTTCGGGTGTAGGGTTTGGGTGTTAGAGAGAGAGGGCGAGTCCCGATATCCAAAGAAGAGTTTAGGGTTTCAGGGTATAGGGGTTAGTTGAAAGAGGCGCCCTCGTTCTTGGAAACCCCCTGAACCCCGAAAGACCCCTAAACCCTAAACCCGAATCCCTAAACCCTAAACCCTAACCCCTAACCCCTAACCCCTAGCCCCTCAACCCTAAACCCTAAACCCTAAACCCTAAACCCTAAACCCTAAATCCTAAACCCTAAACCCTAAACCCTAAACCCTAAACCCTAAACCCTAAACCCTAGCCAGTAACCATCCTAGGCGGCGGCGGTATTTAGTGGGCTCTGCCTGCTATTCAACGTCGTTTTCATGGCGCCCCGGGTGAACTTTGGATCGCCGAAGGTCCTGGGCTTCAGGATGTAGGGTTTATGGGGTTAGGGTTTAGGGTTTAGGGTTTAGGGTTTCGGTTTAGGGTTTAGGGTTTAGGGTTTAGGGTTTAGGGTTTAGGGTTTAGGGTTTAGGGTTTAGGGTTTAGGGTTTAGGGTTGTTTGCTGTAAAAGGGCGTAGATGCTGTGAAGGTTAGGATGCAGCAGAGGCTCGAAAGCCTCGTCAGGTGCGAAGAGCAGCTTTGGCCCGATTGTGGCAGGCCATCTGACACCATTCTCCCACCCCACGCCGTCCAAGGCGGCAAAGCCACCCTAACCTGTTCCTTTGAGGGTTTAGGCCTAAACTCAGGACAATCGCTTACTTCCAATAAAATCTTCCGTCAACGATGGTCAGAAGAGCTACCGACCTCCGAGCTGTCGGAGGCGAGCGAACGACCTGGGTTGGCTTGCGCCATCGAGGTCGAAGAGCTTATTCGCCGCCCCCCAACTGTAGGGGGGGCGGTTGAGTTTAGGGTTAAGGGCTAAGGGTTTAGGGTTTAGGATGTGGAGTTTATTGTGGGCTTCGAAGCTCAATTGCACCCGGGGAGAATAGGGTTCAGGGTTTAGGGGTTAGGGTTTAGGGTTCCAACCTGGTGATTGGAACCCTCAGAGGGCAGCTGCTACATGTCAGGGGGCGGCGGCGCAGTGTTGTTGTGAACAAGGCACTTGGAGCTTAGACTCATCAACCCTAAACCCTAAACCCTAAACCGTAAACCCTAAACCGCGAGAAGTTCCGCCTTGAAACCTCGGGCTTAGGGGTGAGGGGTGTACGGTTCGCGGAGCTGTGGCTAGGCGGGTGGCCGCAGAGAAAAGCAAAACTGAACCCCGGACTTGACCCAGAAGCAACTTCCCCAAAACCCCAAACCCTAAATTAGTTGTACTAAAATGGCCTTTGGGAGGTTGTAAGAGCATCACCGCCTTGCCATGGAACCGCCATGAAGATTTCTTGACCGGTTTCGACTTCATTTGCTAGGCCACATCCCCTACCCAACCCGTGCCCCCCGACAAAAAGAATGAGATTTCTGATCGTGAGTGGATGGAATCCTTCATGGTTTAGGGGGAGGTGGTTGCACTACGCGGACTGCGCGTTCACCAAAAGAAGCCCCAAAATTTCGTAGGTTCTCTCAGAAGCCTCTCAGGGGGCTGTATAGCCACGTTAGGCTCGGATTCTTCAGCTCAGGCTCCCGTTGTGGGATCAAGGGTCTGAGCCTGGGCTTAGGGTTTAGGGTTTAGGGTTGAGGGTTGAGGGTTGAGGGTTTAACGTTTAGGGTTTGGGGTTTAGGGTTCAGGGTTTAGGGTTTAAGGTTTAGGGTATGGAGTTTTGGCACCCTTCTTGGTCCCAGGTGGTCGCCTATCGGGAGTTCCGCATTCCAGCGGAACACTCCCCAAGCCTAACCTTTCCGGAAGCTTCTCGGCAGACATAGTAAATGCCAAACCCTAAGCCCTAAACCCTAAACCCTAAACCCTAAACCCTAAGTAAGGGTTACCCTGGACTCTTTCAGCCTCTGGGATTCCTTCAGATGTGGTCGGGATGAATGTAAAATTACTATCAACCTTGTCGTTGCCAAATGGGGTTTCCCACGCAGGGCACTTATATGGGTGTTTCCTAAAGTAGGGGTACCCCTTTTATACCCCGAGATAGAATCTCCTTAAAGGGACCCAGATGGGGGTATGTGGGTGGTTCTGCGTGGGAGTTCTCATGACAAAGAGGATGGCTTCACCTGAGGCGAAGAAGCACGCGCCGCCGGAGTGAGGAAGGCTTTCGGAAGCGAGCGGTTTTAGGCCTAAGGTCTTGGGGTGTGTGGCTTCCTGAACAGTCCTTACCAGGGATGATAATTGACGTGGTACTATAATTTAGTGGAATTTTAGAAAAAGGGGGAACATACCAACCCTTAGCCCTAAACCCCAAACCCCGAACCCTAAACCCTGGCGGAGCCGCCAAAGCGCGGGTCTCTGCAACTCCGGCGAAGAACGCCTCACGAGGTCGGGGACTGTTGGCAGCCTACGGCAACTGTTCCCCAAGCTTGTTTCAGGCGTTTGGGGTTTCAGGGCATGTGGTGTAGGGTATATGTGGACCACGTATAGTGAGCAGGTTCGAGGGTTCTGGGATTTAGGGCTTGTTGGGTTTCAGGGTTTTGCGTTTGCATTGCGAGCCTGAAATTAATTAGATGCTTGTTTCTCAAGTGTTTGCTTCATTTTGGGTTGGATCGAAACCATAAACCCCAAGCCCAAAACCCAAACCCTAAACCCTAAACCCTAAAGATACGTGTATAAGAGACCCTAAACCTCAAATCCCCATCAGCCCTATGCCTTGAGAACATGGCCACTTCTCTCAATTATGGCCCCCGTTTGGGGTTGCTATTAGAAGGCGGCCCCCCAATATTTAGGGCACCCCAAAAGGGCCATGAGTTTGAGAACTGACCATATGATGATGGTTATGAGGACAGTTGAGTCAAACCTTGAGTCAAGCCTTGTGCTCCAAATCGTTCTTCACACAGTTGAGGGTTCGATGGGATTTTCTTTATGGTTTTTGGGCCTTTGCTGGCTGGTTCTTAGTAGGGAATGAGGGAATGAGGTACCCTGTAGAATCCCTTAAAGGGCATATGCATACAAATATATATATATACACATTTATAAGTATATTTTATACTTGTATTCATACTTGTTTATTTGTAGGGTCCTAATTCCCCAAACCCTAAACCCTAAACCCTAAACCCTAATTCCCTCATTCCCTACTAAGAACCAGGTGGGGTTTAGGGTTCGGGGTGGTTTCAAGTCTGTGGGTTCCCAGATGTGGGGGGGATTTGGAGTTGAGGGGAAGTCAGGGTCTCCGAAACACAAGACCCGAAGGGTTTAGGGTTTAGGGTTTAGGGTTTAGGGTTTAGGGTTTAGGGTTTAGGGTTTAGGGTTTAGGGTTTAGGGTTTAGGGTTTACAGAACCCTGACAAACCCCAAATCCCATCAACCCCAAGCCGTAAACCCTCAACCCTGAGCACTGGCCAACCCTCAAAATCCTGAAGCGCCGGTTGGAGGTTACAAGTTCAGGTGCTGGTTTTTCGTGGGCTAGGGCTTCACGACCTGACCGGCTAGATTGTGTTAGGTTTATGGTGCGTGGGAATGACGGATGTTTGCGTTAATGGCCGTCAAAAGCGCGTCTTGCCCAAATGGCCACAAACAGCCCAGCAACATCGACATCGCCAAGCCATGTGCAACTACACAGCACAGAGAGATCGATGCGGGAAGTGCTGATGAGGGATAAGACCTAGCCCTCGAGCCTAAAACTGAAGCCATGCAACACCTGTGTGCTTGGGCCTCCGGGGTTTGTCTAAGTTCTAAGCTTACCGTGCCTAGGTCTGGTGTCAGGCAGCTCTGAAAATTGGGTTTTTGTGTTCATAGGGCTTGTGGGGCCATGCATTGAGAGTATGCGTCTGAGTCTCTCGGAGCTTCTGCCGCGCTGACCATGCGCCAGCGCGAGCTGGTCGAAGCAGAAGAGGCCGGGGTTGTAAACCATGACGGCCGGCGGTGTCTTCTAGGTTACTTAGGTGCTGAGTGAGCACACTTGACAGGTTTTGGGATACGAGAGTCCCCTACAGAACTGAAAGTGTACGCTTTTTTGGGGGGCTTATGAACTCAGCAACTAAGGTTCTGGAAGATTCAACTTCCAGGGTTTCGGGTATTAGGGGCTGGAGTTCAGGGTTTAGACACCCTAAGCCCTAAACCCTAAACCCTAAAACATGGCTTAGGCCCGGGGAACTTCGCTGGCTTCAGGGAGCTTCAGGGAGAGAACGCAAATTGGCTTCCCAAACCTAAGCCCGAAGCCCTAAGCCCTAAACCCTAAACCCTAAACCCTAAACCGCGGGCAAATCTGCCCTGGGTACGCCTCAGGTTCTTGAATAAAGCACTGCGCTACGCTGCAACACGCGCTCTGCCTCGCTCTCTCCCTCTCTCTCTCTCCCTCCCCCGCATGGCGTCAAGCCGAGACCTTGGTTTCGGGTTTAGGGTTTAGGGTTTAGGGTTTAGGGTTTTTCGAATGCATGGAACCCTCAACCCTATACACGACTTGCAGGGTTGATAAGTTGCGTTTAGGGTAATCTGGGTTCTGAGAAGTTTCGCTGCAAGTAGGGTAGCTATGGTTGCCATCATATTTAGGTACTTGTCTCACCCTATTTCGAAGTAGCCGTGAACCTTCTCAGGTTATGAACCCTGAAGGCCCCTGGAGTTTAGGGTTCAGGGTTCAAAGCAAAACCCTGAATAACTCTAAACCCTAAACCCTAAACCTCCTAAACCCCTAACCTCAGAGACCCGCACCTTCCTCCCGAGGAGGGCAACGAGGACGACTGCTGCGATGGCGTTATCTACTCCGTGCAGCGAAATGTGGGGAAAAAGGCCTTGAACTTCTAAACCCTAAACCCTATACCCTAAACCCTAAACCCTAGATCCTAAACCCTAGTGGCGAAACCCTAAACCCTAAACCCTAAACCGTGGCAGCGTTTTAGGATTTCGGGCTTATCGGGTTTTCTGGTCTATTCGGGTTTCGGGTTCTCAAGTTGGTCTAGGTTTCAGGGTTTAGGGTTTAGGGTTAGGGTGGTTAGGGTTTAGGGTTTAGGGTTTAGGGTTTAGGGTTCAGGGTGTGGGGGTTCAGGGCTGGACGTAGAGGGTGGCTGCAAGAGACCTGGTTGCAGGAAGGTGGAGGGTTTACACTGGAGGCAGCAGCAGCCGTACGATCAGACACCAATCTCTGCGTAGCACAGTGCCGCGCTTGTCAGCCTGCCGTGCAACTTAGAGTTTATGGTTTAGGGTCTTAGTGCCAAGAGAAGAAGGGAGCGTAGGGAGACCCCTTCTACCAGTACTAAGTCACACCTGTGATTGCATCCCCTGCTTGTATAGATTCGCGGGAAGGCTCTGCTGTCAGGTTGCCGGCAGCTTCCTCAGTCCGTGCTCGGAAAAGGGTCTTAGTGCCAGAGATGCGAGCTCACAAACTGAAGTGGACATGGATTCCCGACACGGAGAAAGGATGCTAGATGGCTCGCTTGCACAACCAGGGCAATTGGAGGGTTGTGTACAAACGATCGTTTGCTAGGTAGGACCTTGTGATGACGTGTGTGCGTGTGTGCGTGTGTGCGTGTGTGCGTGTGTGCGTGTGTGCGTGTGTGCGTGTGTGCGTGTGTGCGTGTGTGCGTGTGTGCGTGTGTGTGCGTGTGTGCGTGTGTGCGTGTGTGCGTGTGTGCGTGTGTGCGTGTGTGTGTGTGCGTGTGTGCGTGTGTGCGTGTGTGCGTGTGTGCGTGGTGTGTGTGCGTGTGTGGGTGTGTGGGTGTGTGGGGTGGGGTGGTGGGTGTGTGCGTGTGTGCGTGTGTGCGTGGTGTGCTGTGTGCGTGTGTGCGTTTGTGCGTGTGTGCGTGGTGTGCGGTGTGTGTGTTGTGCGTGTGTGCGTGTGTGCGTGTGTGCGTGTGTGCGTGGGGTGTGTGGGTGTGTGGGTGTGTGGGTGTGTGGGTGTGTGGGTGTGTGGGTGTGTGGGTGTGTGTGTGTGTGTGTGTGGGAGTGTGTGGGAGTGTGTGTGGGAGTGTGTGTGTGTGTGTGTGGGAGTGTGTGTGGGAGTGTGTGTGGGAGTGTGTGTGGGTGTGGGTGTGGGTGTGGGTGTGGGTGTGGGTGTGGGTGTGGGTGTGGGTGTGGGTGTGGGTGTGGGTGTGGGTGTGTGTGTGTGTGTGTGTTCTGCCCTCATTGGGTTTCAAAGGCCAACATCATAACCTTGGTGCTGAAAAGTAGCCAATCTCGCTTTGCCGAGCGCTAGTGTGGGCGGCGGGCGAAAGGACAGCAGGCGAGTCCCTTGTGGAGAGAAGGGCTCGGATAGCTGGGCAGGCTGCCACCATCGGAAAACGACTGTGGAGGTTGAGCAGAATTGCAGATCTTGACTAGTGACCCCGAAAGGGCCTACAGTTTTGATCGCAGCTCTCTCTGTTCGACCGTCGGGGAGGGCAGATTGATTCATCAGGGTCCAACCGGAAATCATGATCTCCGTCCAAATTCAAAGGGCCCGCAAAATTCAAGGGCCCAAGAAGCCCTAGCAAACCTTTTTTTTGACCCTGGTATTCCCCAACTTGTCCCCTCTTCTGGGGTATCTTTTGTGGACGCGCCTCGTCCCAGCGCATAACTAGCTCAGCGCGCGAGACGTCACTTGCTCCCTTCGCGAACGCGTACAATTCTCTCCCTTTCTCCCTCCCTGCCTCCCTCCCTCCCCTTGTCTCTCGTACAAAAATGCAAATGAATCAGGCGTGTCGTGTCGCAAGGCAGTCCACTGTAGATTCCACATCGGCATGTCGGCATGATTCAAGTTTCATTCTAGAGAAAGCAGGCCCCGCCAGGCCAAGCCTCTACCTGAAACAGCTTCCAACAGACATGGTGGTGCATATACACGCACATGGGTGGTTGTCAAAATTTTGTATGGTCCGTTTTTGGACCCCAATTATAATACGGCACCTACTGTTTAGGGTATCCCAGAAGGGATCAACATTTTGACAACCACCCAGATGGTACATATACACGCACATGAACAAATCATCCAATGTGTGTCGCACCTCGTGGTTAGATGAAGTTAGATAATCATGATCCGAAACACGCCAGCAACTATAAACCCTAAACCTTGAAACCTAATCCCTACACTCTAAGCCCTAAACCTTGAACCTTGAACCTTAAGGATCAGCGCAACAACAGCAACTTCCCGAACATGTGACTCCTTCGAGCTCCAGGTCCTAAACTCTCCAAAATGGGAGCCTGAAGACCCACAAAACCGGCTCGAGGGGTTTTAGGGTCCAGGGCTAGGGTTTAGGGTTTAGGGTTTCGGGTTTCGGGTTTCGGGTTTAGGGTCTAGGGTTTAGGGTTTAGGGTTTAGAGTTTAGGGTTTAGGGTTTAGGGTTTAGGGTCCTACGAGATGCAGGCAGCATCCTGGCTGGAGTTCTACGAAGTTCCACGGGTGGTGATACCTGGCAACATGAACCCGCGACCATGTCTGTGTGCATTGTCAGAATGAGCGTAGTCCAGCCTGAACGCTCGTATGGCCGTTATATCTATATCTATTCATACATATATAGACATAATACACACATACCTTTGAGATTAACATTCATCTCAAGATGTTATGATACAATATGTGTGTATATATGTTGCATTGCTATGTACCCGAAAAGCCCACGTTACTCGGTGGCGAAACGAATAAAAGAAAGCTTGGAACTGCCGTGTTTTTTCGTCGCAACCCCTAGAGATCGATGTAGGGTTTAGCGGTTTAGGGTTTAGGCTTTAGGGTTTAGGGTGAAAGCAGAGCATGTATACCATCACCAAGGAATGCCATGCAAAAGAATTTTCGTCTCGGGCTCCTAGTCCTCGCCAACTAGGTCATGCACAATCCTCTCGAGACGAGTCCCAACTCTGACCCGAAACCCGAAACCTCAAAACCCTAAACCCCAAAACCCTAAACCCCCTAACCCCTAAACCCCAAAACCCTAAACCCCAAATCCTTCTGAGGATGATCCGCGCGCCGCCGCTCCAGATTCCACGTATGATAGCCAAGGGTGCCGCGACGCTGCCGCTGGCCGAGATTCCGCTTCCAGGGGGTTTAGGGTTTAGGGTTAAGGGTTTAGGGTTTAGGGTTTAGGGGTTATGATCAAAGCTCCGGCCGCTGTTCGTAGGTGGGGGGAGGGGTGGGGGGTAGATGGAGGGGGGAGGGGGGTTTAAATTCCTTGAAGTAGAGCAGGTTTCTCAATTCTCTTTGTAAAGCATAGTCAGCAAGTTCTCACGGATGGCAGGTCTGGGACTTGGAGTGAAGCATAGTCCTTCATGGATTCCTTGGGGTTTAGGGTTTAGGGTTTAGGGGTCAAGCTTGTGACCTCACCACGAACGGCATCACAGCAGTTGGCACATGTGTGCCAACGCCAGCTGTGAGTCGGTTCTGCCTCGAAGACCAAGTTGGGACCTAGTCAGTCTTTGACTTTGGGCTGTTCCCCCTTATACTAGCAGTCCTCGATAGGGATTATGATAGGGGGTACTAAACTCCCCCCCCCCCCCCCCCCAACTAAGGACTGTTAGTATAAGATTTTGATGTTCACTTGGTTCTTGAGGCAAGTTTGGAAAACTCCCGGCTTCCTTCGAAACCCTTGCAAACCCCCAAGCCCTAAACCTTAAGCCCCCAAAAGGCGACCCTAAACCCTAAACCTAAACCCAAACCCCAAACCCCAAACCCTAAACCCTAAACCCTAAACCCTAAACCCTAAACCCTAAACCGCTCATGCCTTCCTCAGCTTCTCAAGGGTTAACTTGCGCATGGTCTTAGCTCTGCTTCCGTGCGGCCCACGGGGGTCATGGGTTAGAGGGTTTAGGGTTTAGGGTTTAGGGTTTAGGGTTTAGGGTTAGGCCCTAAACCATAAACCTGTGAAAGCAAGCTTATTTGCACGATAACGGCTTGGGCCAGAACCCGTTTCTCAACATCTTCATCAAACTGCCCAGGAAACACCCCTAGTCATGCCTGATCTAGTGCACCTAAGTCCCACCAACCTTAAAATCGCATAATTGTTGGGATCCTATTGGAAGAAGGGTCAGTTCAGCAAGGTGCTTCCTGGTGTGGCTAGTTTGGAGCCAGCAGTACTTGGAGGACAAAGCGTTGGCCACTAGAGATCTTCAGGATATTCGTGTTGCACTTTTGCTGCCTGCCCTTCCTATTCGCATAAGAACCCCCCCCCAAAAAAAAAAAATAAAAATAAAACAATAATAATAATAATAATATAATCCTTAGGTCAATGGTAGTGTTGGTCTGTGTCCGGCAGATACCATGCTAGACAGACCACCCTAACTGCCCGCAAGTGCACAACGGAACGAAATCTGAAAACCATGGTCCATGTTGAGGGTTCCAGGTTTTTGACAACAACTGGGGAAATCGGATTGGCCAGGTCTGTTAGTAGAAATCCCCAAACTTGACCCTAGTTTAGAGAAAACAACACACTCAAGATAACTTGAATCCTAAACGTCAAAAGACCTAAACAGCTTAAAACCTAAAGAACTTCAGTCCAAAGCTGTTCAGATTTCGGCTTCTCGCTCCACGCAGTCCCCCCACCTCGCCCTGCCATTGCAGAGAGTTTCGGATTCAGATTCTATATAGGGTTTTGGGTTTTATTGGGTTTGGGGGGTTTAGGGTTTAGAGTTCAGGTTTAGGGTTTAGGGTTTAGGATTTAGGGTTTAGGGTTTAGGGTTTAGGGCTACGTGAAGGTTCATGGGTACTTTCAAGTAGAATTAGAACCTAAATAAGGCCATAACCATAGTTACCCTACCTCCAGGGTTTGGGTTTGCCGAAGGGTATGGGCCCTTGATGTGGCCCTGTACCTCAACGGGTTCTGAAGAATGGGCCCTTGGGTTGTATAGGGTACGTAAGGGGTATGTAAAGGGTCCCCTTTTAAGGACCCATACTAGGGGACAATGTAGGTACCCTAAGAGTTTGGGGCTTAAGTTCCATGGGGCTTAGCAGAACCCCAACTTTGGGCCTAATGGCTCGTATAAGGTTCACGGGTTGAGGACAACCCTGCTAAACCCTGAGTCCTGCCCGCCGCGAGCGAGAGTGAGAGTCAAGACCCTGAACCTGAAGTTTAAGAACTTGCCCAAAACCCCAAACCCTAAGCCCTAAACCCCAAACCCTAAGCCCCAAACCCTAAACCTACAGGTAGGCTGGACAAATCGAACCCTCGTCGCAGCAATTCTCGGCCGCCAGGAGCACGACATCACCTCCTCCCGCATCGGGCCCCTCGGCTAGGGTTTAGGAGTTAGGGTTCAGGGTTTAGGAGTTAGGGTTCAGGGTTTAGGAGTTAGGGTTCAGGGTTTAGGGTTTAGGGTTCAGGGTTTAGGGTTCAGGGTTGAGGGTTGAGGGTTTCAGGTTGAGAGTTGAGGGTTCGGTAGTACTCCCAGCGAACTGGCAAGCCTGTCACAAAAGCATTAGTAGTAGTTATCCACAACCTTGCGTGGAGCACCTGAAAGCTGCACATATATACATATATGTATATATATATGTACATATATATATATACATGTATATACATATATATATATATATATTACTGCCCCTGAGTCTCCACAAGCATGCGCCTAAGACGTCGGGGCCCCAACAGTGTGCAGGGCGGGTTGATGAATTGCGGGCTGCTTTTGAAGCTGCCTTCTCTGATTTAGATACATCGTAGAAGAATTTGGGCACCGAGCAGGTTCGACATCTCCTTCCCGCAGTGTGGTAACCGCCACTGCCGTGATGCTTGGCAACATATTCCGTGTACTGGGATCCCGAAACCCTAAACCCTAACCCTAAACCCTAAACCCTAAACCCTAAACCCTAAACCCTAAAACCTACCATCACTCCCTGGCTGCTCCATTGACTGCATATGTAGCACGAATGCTTTAGCTATGGCAACACCATCAACCTGAACGGGCCCAAAGCTCTTGTCGTGAACGGTCGTTGCGCGTGTCATTCTTTAAGCCCATTTCCGAAAGACGGCTTGATGGTGTTTTTTCATGTGTTTAGGCCATTTTGGGGTTGAGGAGGGGTCGAGTAGGGTTTGAAGGGTTTAGAGCTGCTTGTTTCTCTCACGCTTCTCAAGGACAACGATTGGGACTGCGATGACATGTGTCCAAGTCATGGACTTCACGACGGGGTGGCGGCTGACTACGGCCACTGCAGCCCGCAGAAACTCAACGAGCTGCGCGACGAGATACAACGCTACTACTTCACCGACACAGCAACACACAACTACAGCAAGGCGCGCTGGCCAGAGAAACCTCGCGTACTGACATCTTGCCCGCGCTTGGACACCCACGATATCTTTCGCTCGATCGACGTTGGGCGACCTTTGGTGACAACGGCTGTCACGAGCAACCTCCAGCGCAGGTGTCTGCAGACAGAAGCCTCGTAGCCCAGTGGTACCCTTTTCCTTTTTTTTGTTGGGGGGGGGGGGGGGGGGGGGGGGTGTTCAAGGTTCCCTTATAAAGTAACCAACTCCAAAAAAAAAGGGGGTGCCCTTATTAGAATGTGGTAGCTGGGCTTACCAACTTACTGGCTCAAAACCCAACTTGTCAACTTTTGGGCTTCTTATAAGGTAGTTTACTCTGAAAGTTTAAACTTTTATTTCCTTGGGTTTTGGGCCAGCAAGCCAAGGAAGCCTGTATTTGGAAGAACTTGGACTTCAATGTGTCGCTTGTCCACCTGAGCGACTTTGTGGTCGGAGCTTCGCCCGAAACTTCGGGGGATATTTGAACATATGTTTTTTTTCTTTTAATTTTAGGGTTTAGGGTTTAGGGTTTAGGGTTTTCAATTCCTAAGAAACAGCTAAAATTGTGATTTTTTGTTTGGGCTCCAAGTTCAGCGTAGGAAATTTGGGAGGAGGGCAAGCGTGTAGACCAAGCGAGCCTCACTGGATTTGTATCGATGCCGGATGGTACAAGATGTGTCATCCCCTGTAACTCTTCGACCCCTCATGGCGCACATTGCAGGCAAAGTTTGCCGAATTGGGATCAGTATCCGACATGCAAAGGCTGCTTCCGAAATTGGGGCGTTGATTACATGCCTTTGCGCACACTTCTTGCGGCCGCCAACGTCTCCCTGGATGAAAAGACGGGCAATACTTCCCTTCCTCGCCGATTCTGGGGTTCGCTTCTGCGTGTCAACGCGCCCGAGCCTATATATGTGGTCATTTCTGAAATGTTGTTCCTTTTTGGGTACACTAAGTATTGGGGCCGCCTTTCAGTAGTAACCCCAAAAGGGGCCCTGAGTCAGGGATTCCCCCGCATATGTGGTTCTGAACCCCTCTTGAGGGACCTTCAGGAAATCCACTCGAGACTTGCATGAGCATGACCAGATCAACCCTAGACCCAGAATTGCTCTTAGACCAACGTGCTCCCGTTGTAGTATGCCAATGTGTGAGCGTGAGGGTCGAAGCTGTTGGGCTGCCCCCGTCGCCATTTTGGCGCGCCGCCTTCAAAAAACTTAAGAAGCTTGCCCTGCTTCCGAAGCCCTCGCGCCCATCGCAACAAGTCTGCGAGCGACATGACACTGGAGTATCGCAACACCTTCCTTGACGTGAAGGAGGGGCCTTGGGAGGCCGCAGGCGCTGCCGGCGCTGCCCGCGCCCTCAGCTCTCCGCCAGGCCCGGGGCGCCATTCCAGCTTGAGCGTGGAGATCCAGGAGCTTAGGGTTTAGGGTTTGGAGCTTAGGGTTTAGGGTTTAGGGTTAGGGTTTTTAGGGTTTAGGGATACCCTTAAAGGTGTTTATGGTTCACATACCCGAATAGGAATTATAGTAGTATCAGGAAGCAGAGGAGGCGATGCGCAGCTACGTGGGCAGCCTCGCGGAGAGCGCCGCCCAGCTTGGCAAGCCCAAAGTCTGTCAGGAACCGGTTCAGGAGTCCGAAATGCGCCTGCCAGCCTTGATTGCACCCAGCTTGGGCAGCAGGGGCCATCCAGACTTGTGCCGTCGCCCTTGCATCTACTTCTCTTCCGGCCATTGTGGGCGTGGTGAGTCCTGTGCCTACTGCCACCTCAAGCACGAGAAATCCTTGCCGAAGCTTGACAAGCGGCAGCGGATCCTGGTGCAGCACCTCAGCCGCCCGCAGCTGGTGTCGATGACCCTCCACTTCTGCCGCACCTTAGTAGCCCAGTGGTACCCTTTACCCTCTGTTTGGTTCTGGGCTCCCTTATAAAATACCCAACTCAAAATCAGGGTGCCCTTATTGTAATATGGTTACTGGGCTACCAAGGCACCAAGGCTGAGCAGCGCGGCTTCACAGCCCAGGCCCAGGAGATCCTTGCGCTTCTTGAGGAGGAGGCCAGTGTCTCGGCAAGCTCGGCGAGCTCTCAGTCTTCGGAGTCCGTGACGGACCGCGAGCTCCGCAACTTGTGCAAGACGCTTGCCCGGATGAGCTTTTCCAGCCTCATTGGCTTGGCAGCGCACCTGCCGCCCAGCCAAGTTGAGACACAAAGTCCGGCTCGCCTGATGGCGGCTTTGGAGACCCTTCGCTTGCAGGTCCCTGTCGAGACCCCGTAAGGCGTTGCCTCAGATCTTTAAATCTAGTGACACATGATTAGATAGATGTCTGTGTGTGAACTTATGTGCATACATGTATATATATATATATGTTACCCCCCCCCCAAAGATCTAGGTATTTTCATGATTTAGCGATATCAAGTTGAATACTTGCATGGGCCCGGAGGCGATGTGAAGTTGAAGATGTAACCGCCATTTAAACCTGAACCCTTAACCGTAAAACCCTTTTGGGTTAAGGCTTAAAAGGTTTAGGCCTTAAGATTTAGGCATTTAAACCTAAGCCCATCGAGTGTAAATCTTAGCGTACAGGGCCTAAACACTTAACCTTTAAGCCCTATAGGCTATAGGGCTAAGGTTTAATGGTTTAGGGTTTAAGTTCAATAGCAGGCCCATAGAGTTAAAGCCTTAAGGGGCCTAAACGCTTAACCTTTAGACCCTATAGGCTATAGGGTCAAGGTTGAAGGGTTTTGGTTTTAAAAGTAAGTCTATAGAGTTCAGACCCTAAGGGGCCTAAACGCTTAACCTTTAAACCCTATAGGCTATAGGGTTAAGGTTTAAAGGTTTAGGATTCAAGATTTAGGCATTTAAACCCAAGCCCACCTTAAGGGTTTAGGGTTTTAAACCCTCAGGGCTTAAGAAATACCCTAAGCCTTTGGACCCCCCTTAAGGTTTAAGCTCTATGGGCTTGTGTTTTAATGCCAAAATCTTAAACCCTAAGCCTTTCAACCTTAACCCTATGGCCTATAGGGTTTAAAGGTTAAGCGTTTAGGACCCTTAACCTTAAGGGGCCTAAACGCTTAACCTTTAGACCCTATAGGCTATAGGGTCAAGGTTTAAGGGTTTAGGTTTTAAAAGTAAGCCTATAGAGTTCAGACCCTAAGGGGCCTAAACGCTTAACCTTTAAACCCTATAGGCTATAGGGTTAAGGTTTAAAGGTTTAGGATTCAAGATTTAGGCATTTAAACCCAAGCCCACCTTAAGGGTTTAAGGTTTTAAACCCTCAGGGCTTAAGAAATACCCTAAGCCTTTGGACCCCCCTTAAGGTTTAAGCTCTATGGGCTTGTGTTTTAATGCCAAAATCTTAAACCCTAAGCCTTTCAACCTTAACCCTATGGCCTATAGGGTTTAAAGGTTAAGCGTTTAGGACCCTTAACCTTAAGGGGCCTAAACGCTTAACCTTTAGACCCTATAGGCTATAGGGTCAAGGTTTAAGGGTTTAGGTTTTAAAAGTAAGCCTATAGAGTTCAGACCCTAAGGGGCCTAAACGCTTAACCTTTAAACCCTATAGGCTATAGGGTTAAGGTTTAAAGGTTTAGGATTCAAGATTTAGGCATTTAAACCCAAGCCCACCTTGAGGGCTTAAGGTTTTAAACCCTCAGGGCTTAAGAAATACCCTAAGCCTTTAGACCCTATAGGGCTGAAAGGTTAAAGAGAGCGTAATGTCTGGGCATTTATACATTCAACGCCTATAGGGTTAAACCCTGTTAACGTTTTAGAGCCCTACAGGGCTTCAAGGTTCTGACCCTAAAGGGCTTAGGGTTATCGTTTCAATGCTGAAACCTTAAACCCTTAAGGCTTAAGCTCTATGGGCTTGTGTTTTAATGCCAAAATCTTAAACCCTAAGCCTTTCAACCTTAACCCTATGGCCTATAGGGTTTAAAGGTTAAGCGTTTAGGACCCTTAAGGTTTAAACTCTATGGGCTGACTGTTGAACTTTTCAACCCTAAACCTTTAAACCTTAACCGTATAGCCTACAGGGCTTAAAGGTTTAGCCCACGATCCCGAAACACCGCAAAAACCAATAAGAAACATAAAAACTATGGTTTCTGAAACTACTCGGCCGGCCACCCCAGCCACTAGTTTCGAAAATCATGGTTTTTGACATGTTTTTTTTAATTGTTTTTTTTTGCGATGTTTTGGGAGCATGGGCTCACGAAACATCGGTTTTACTGATGTTTTTTAGAGGTAGGCCTTCAATAACATTGGTTTTACCTATGTTTTTTGAAGGTAGGCTTTCAAAAACATTGGTTTTACCGATGTTATTTTGAAGGTAGGCTTTCAAAAACATCGGTAAAACCGATTTTTAGCGTGGGACCCACGCTCCCGAAACACCGCAAAAACCAATAACAACCATAAGACTGAGCCAGCCACTGGGATGCGAGCCATTGCGAGTATTACAAACACAAATGGTCAAGTATATTTCGAGTGGAATGTCTGCGAAGACACGTGATCTTGAGCGACGTCACGAAAGCTAATTCTGACACTTTACAAGACGTGAACCCGATTGAAAAACGATTGAAACGATTGAAATTCAATCGGGGGCCCGATTGAAAAACGATTGAAACGATTGAAATTCAATCGGGGGCCGGATTGAAGATTGAAGATTGAAGATTCCCAGAAAATCGTTTCAATCGTTTTTCAATCGGGCCCCCGATTGAATTTCAATCGTTTCAATCGTTTTCAATCGGGCTCACAATTTGAAAATACGACCACGCACATATGAAGACTCGCACATATCAAGATTTACATGTCCATATTGAGATTTCCACGTTTAGCTAGCCCCCCACCCCCAACCCTAAAACCCTAAAACAGATCCCAAAACCAGGAAAACACCTAGATCTTTGGGGGGGGGGGGTACCATATATATATATATATCCACACTTATTATACTTATACGTGTTTGAATATCTATTTCTACGCATGTGGATGTAATACACTCTGAGAGTCGTATGCTGCCGGGGGCAGGCGGGGCATCCCTGAGAAAGGGTTGGGTCCTGTCGGTCTCAGTAGCTACAGCCTTGGTTTTTCTGCGGCGCACGACTGCCCGCAATATTCTCCCGAGGGTGTCGGTCCCAAAGCTGCCGCGCTTGGTTTAGGGTTTAGGGTTTAGGGTTTAGGGTTTAGGGTTTAGGGTTTAGGGTTTAGGGTTTAGGGTTTAGCAAAAAGGGTTTAGGGTTTAGGGTTTAGGGTTTAGAGAGGGTATTTGAACGAATTTGTTTTAGTAGCAGCGTCTCAGCAAGGCGTCCGCACATCCGAGCAGACTCGCTGTGAGGGTGCGCTTGTGTACGAGGGCATACGGCCTCTTCATTCTACTCGGCCTTGCACAGCCACTTGGACGTTCGTGGAACGCGCGCACGCACGAACACATAGACACACGCACACACACACACACACATAGAAGCACGCACACACACACACACACACACACACGGAGACAGACATGAACACCATGGTCAAGCAGCGCACCCCATCATGGGAGACTTAAACAATCAACATGTTCACCCCGTCTCTCCGGAGGATATTTGGGGGGCCATTTGAGGCCTCTCAGCTTTTTTTTTCCAAGGCACGAGGGTGTCGCAGGCAAAAAGCGTTGCTCAGGTTTCTTTCGGGGTTTGAGAAGCAGATCCGAGGCTCTGAAAAAATTTCAGGGTTTAGGGTTTAGGGTTTAGGGTTTAGGGTTTAGGGTTTAGGGTGCGAGGTTTCCAGGTGGGCTATTAGGCCTTAAACTCCCCATAAGGGCCTTTTTAAGGGATTATAGGGCATAATAGCCCATCCTGGTAAGGCCTTTAATGAACCGTCTAAGGGGCCTTTTAAGGGATTATAGGGATAGCCATCCTGGTTGGGTCCAGGCCTCCAAGCAGGTATGCTGAGAAGGCCAGTCCCAGCATCACGCTCGCTCGACTAGCTTCGTTGAATGAAATCACCGAGTACTCACCCTAAACCCTAAACCCTAAACCCGTTTATTTGGGGTTCTCGGCTTGCATCGGCCTGCCCACACACGGGCACTGATACCCTAACAAACTGACGGATGGCACCCCTCACGCAAGTCAGCCGACCGCCACGGTTTGCGAGAATGGTTTGGAGCTGATTCCTTGCTCTGCAGGAAGCCGAGACTTTTGGCCGGCCAAAGCCCTGATCCGGGTCTTTAAGTGCGTCGGCCGTGTGTTAGGGTTCGGGGTTTAGGGTTTGGGGTTTAGGGTTTAGGGTTTAGGGGTATGCCTTTCATACTGGTGTGTGGGCGCTGTCTGAGCTATGTGGTTTCGCAACAGCCGAAGGGTTGACACCGAGACCCGGGTCGAAATGTTTTCCATTTCTGGTCCTGACACTTCCAGCTCAGGACCAACAATCTTGATTAGTTGGGATTCCTTCATAGGGATTATGGTAATCCCCTATCATAATCCCGAGTAATGACTGTTAGTAACCGGGAAACATCCCAAGTCATTTGTCATGTGAAAGGGAGCTGCCGATGCGGGCTGTACCGAGCCTTTGCGAGTCCTGCCACCTGCACCGAAAGCAGCTCCCGCAACGCCAGTTTTGCGTTTTTGTACTTTTGCGACGTTAGATGGACCCAGTTGGCTTCGGAAGTGACCCTAACCCTTAACCTTCTAAACCCCAACAAAAACCCTCAACTCCAAACCCTAACCCTCAACCCTCAACCCTAAACCCTAAACCCTAAACCCTAAACCCTTCCTAACAAAAGCGAGGACAGAACCCTGGGCTCCACACATAATTCGTGGCCGCAGGCGAAAATGGATCCAACGCTCAAATAGCCAAGAGCCAACTGAACCCCATAGGCCTAAAACCCCACCTGAGCAACCCAAAACATACGCTTTTGGAGGTCATTGTAGTAGTACCCCTAAACCCTAAGCCCTAAACCCCTTGTAGGACTCTTAGGTAACCTACAAAGAGGTAGCTCTTGGGTTCTGAAGGCTGCGCGCGCTTGATTGCTTGAAGCACTTTTGGGATCCTCCGCATGCGGCCGAAGCCTGTTCTGAGAATGTCAGTGGCAGGTTTACATTCTGCTTGGCGACTGGCAGGTTTAGGATTTAGGGCTTAGGGCTTAGGGTTTAGGGCTTAGGGTTTAGGGTTTAGGGCTTAGGGCGTAGGGTTGGTCAGCCATATGCATCCAGGCCTCCAAGTTTTGTTGGGTACGTTTTGACTCTAGCAGCCCACCCGCTTTGGAGAAGAAAAGAAGAAGCGCCGTCGTCTGCTTGACCCCACCTGCTACTTGGAGGTTCGGGGTACTTCTTAACCAACTAGTTATAACTGTACCCATAACTGTACTTATAGCCATGTTGGGGCACTTAAGGGGCTTACAAGTGGATTATAAGCACAGTTCTTATTGGTGAATACGTACCATGAGCCTCCAAGCAATGAGGACCCCAAGGGCCAGCAAGAAGATCACAACCCATGCGATCAACGGCTAGGCCCGAAGCTTGAAAATGGGCAAAGCTCGAACTGCTAAGACCATAACTCTAAACCCCAAGTTAGGGTTTAGGGTGTAGGGTGTAGGGTGTAGGGCTTAGGGCTTAGGGCTTAGGGTTTAGGGTTTAGGGTTTAGGGTGAGATATCGAACCCAAAGGTGCACTACTCCAACCAGAAGGACTTGTGGACCTCGCTACCGCCGGCTCTGCGCATGAGCTACACCTACACCATCACTCTGCATCGAAACTCGACATGGCTTGGGGTGTAGGGTTAAGGGGTTTAGGGCTTAGCGGGCTTAGGTTTAGGGTTTAGGGTTTAGGGTTGAGGTTTAGGGTTTTGGGTTTTGGGTTTTGGGTTTTGGGTTTTGGGTTTAGGGTTTAGGGTTTAGGGTTTAGGGTTTAGGGTTTAGGGTTTAGGGTTTAGGGTTTAGGGTTTAGGGTTTAGGGTTTAGGGCAGGTTTAGGGTTTAGGGTTTAGGGTTTAGGGTTTAGGGTTTAGGGTTTAGGGTTTAGGGTTTAGGGTTTAGGGTTTAGGGTTTAGGGTTTAGGGTTTAGGGTTTAGGGCTTGGGTGGTTCCTGGACTCTTGTAAACCCCAAGGCCCGGAACAAAGTAAAGCTCAAGACAGAAGCCTCGAAGCTCAGGACGTTCTGGGTAGGATCTAAATCGGGGTTTACGATAATCAGGGTTCAGGGTATAGGGTATAGGGTTTAGGGTTTGGGGTTAGGGTTTACGTAATCGGTAATAAGTGAACCCCAGAACAGACCCCCAAATAGCACGATCCCCTTATAGACAGAACCCCAACCAGGTACCCCAAATATCGTAAACCCCCAAAGCCACTGCGAATGTTGAAGTTTTGGGTGTACTTGGAGGTTCTCCCTACTTATAACCCTGCTTATGAGTACCCATGAACCTCAACCCCTAAACCCTAAGCCCCTAAACCCTAAACCCTAAACCCTAAACCCCAAACCCAAAAGCCTAAGTAGGGATGGCGAAGGAGACGAGGAGTGGCAGATAGAGATCCACTACTCCTTTGATCAGCAACTGGAAGTCGCTATGCACAGTGTTTTTAGGGCTTAGGGTTTAGGGTTTAGGGTTCAGGGAGATTTTTGCGGTTTAGGGTTTAGGGTTTAGGGTTTAGGGTTTAGGGTTTAGGGTTTAGGGTTTAGGGTTTAGGAGAGAGTTTAGGGTTGGGTCGGCCCCGTCATCTCCGAAACCAGTATGCCTGAACTGTATTTGTAGACACTGGGGCCTGCCGTTTTTTCGATGTCTAAACCCTAAATCCACGATCCTAAGCCCTAAACCCTAAACCCTAAACCTGTGTCTCCGAGGGGGGGGGGGGGGGTTTTGTTGGCACGGGGGAGCCAGAAGTTCGCCCTGAAATTCTCCAGGCAAGAGCGCCGCCTCATGAGGCACGCAGGACTCCGGTTTGAATTCACCTTCGATGGAACTCTAGCCGATCTGAACGTCCCTTGGCTGCAGCCAACAGCCCGACAGTCTTAAAGCCCTAGGCCCTGAAAGACTGACCCCTAAGCTCTGAACCCTATAACCCTACACCCTGAAACCCTTAACCTTTTGTGGCCACTACGTGAGTCTCGACGTTAGCCGATATTCCCGGCATACATGTTGAACAGCCAAACCCTGAAACCCAAAGCCCTAAATCCGAAACCCTAAACCCTAAACCCTAAACCCTAAACCCTAAACCCTAAACCCTAAACCCAATTTGGTTCGGGGCTTGGCTTGCTGACGTTAAGGCTGCGGCGCTTGGGCTTGGGCACGTTTACCAGACACTTCAGCACAGGTATACATGATCTGTCGGCAGCGTAAGGCATTGCTACCTCTCGCTGTTGACCGCTGTTGCGTATATGTAGTGATTTCTGTACATTATGTTCCTTAGTAAACCCCTGTTATTTAGGGTACCCCAACGAGGGACCATAATTTTGAGAGCTGACCATGCATACGTTCGTGGCAGCGCGCCATGCACAGGCCATCTACCTGCTCCAGACCCTCGGAGGGATCAGCGTTGCCCGGCCTTTAGTTACCCCATGGTAGCCCAGTAGTACCATTTTTGCCCTTTCTTTGTTAAACCATATGCCCTAGTTTAGGGGTGGGCTGTGGAGATTAAGCCTCAAGGCGCGCTGGCGCGTGGGTACTGCGGGTACTGAGGCTTATCTTAGCCTCTAGGCCTTAGGAGCCTGCACCCCGAATACCCCGCGTCGCACTGCAACCAGCATTGGGTATCCCGAAGCCCTCTATTCCCTAAACCCTAAAATCCTTGAATCCTAAGGCCCTAAGCCACACACCACGGGTTTTCTATGGGCCTTGCTGGGTTCTAGGATGACAGGGGGCTGGTATCTGATTAGGGTTTTGGGTTTGGGGTTTAGGGCCTGAAGTTGTAAATAGGGTTTAGGGTCCTTTGGTTCAAGAGCCTTTACCACAACTGCACTTTGGCCCTTGGATCATCTTAGACCTGTACAAGGTTAAGGAGCTTTAGGCCAAGGTGGTTCGGATTCAGGGTTTAGTGTTTAGGGTTTAGGCATGAAGCAGTCTCCAGCAGGCCCTGCAAAGCAAGTGTACAGGGTTCAGGGCTTCTGGCTTGGAGGGTTACAAAGGCACAGGGCGGGCTTCTGAGGTCGCTTCGGAGTAGGGTTTAGGATTTAGGGTTTTCAGGTCATTTCGGGTTGTAGAGGAGTTTGGGGGTCAGGTTTTCCGGGGTGGGCTTAAGGTTCAGGGGCTAGGGTTTAGGGGGTGCGCATTCCATAGCGCGGGTTCAAAAAAGGGTGAGCATTCCCGGCGGAGCCATGCAAATCCTGATGAAACGGGTTTAGGGGGGTCTGGGTTTAGGGTTTAGGGCTTGGGTCCTGGTTACAAAGGCTCCAGGATTTAGGATTTACTTGACTTCTAAACCCAAGTAGAAGTCTACCTATAGCCTACTTAGAGGACTCAAGGGACTTAGGGTAGCCCCGAACCCTAAACCCTAAACCCTAAACCCTAAACCCTAAACCCTAAACCCCTAAACCCCTAAACCCCTAAACCCTAAACCCTGAACCCTTAAGGACCATGACCCTCCAAGCAGGGGTTTAGGGGCATACGCCCTGAACCGAAAGCTCTTGGCAACCCTCAGTCCACCACTGCTCCAAGGTGATCTGCAATTATATGGGGTTTAGGGTTCAGGGTTTAGGGTTTAGGGTTTAGGGTTTAGGGTTTAGGGTTTAGGGTTTAGGGTTGGGAGCCCCCCAGACAGAGAATTTCTTGTGATGGGAGCCCCCTCAAACAGAGTAGCCCGTTTGCGGGACCTCCAGGTGTTCTGGTACGTGTTCATGATCATTGTGGACTACCTCATACTGTGGATTTATGAGTACTCGTCCCCTTGGCTGGATGCAGGGGTTTACGAAAATGGGGGACCCAAACGGTAGGATCCCCTTATCATAAGGACCCCATAAGGTACCCCTAATTTCGGAAACCCTAAACCCAAACCCCAAACCCTAACCCCTAAACCCTAAACCCTAAACCCTAAACCCTAAACCCTAAACCCTAAAACCCCCATTTAGGGTTAGGAGCTATATAGGCCACAATGCAATGCCCTCAACAAAGGAATCCATCCGAAACGGGCTTGACCTAAAAGATGCGCCCGTACCTGCACATCTCGGACCCAGTTTAGGGGTTTAGGGTTTAGGGTTTAGGGTTTAGGGTGTAGGGTTCACGGTTCCCTTCTTTGGTGAGGCCTAAGTTCCCTTATAAGCCCCTTGAAACCAAGAAGGACTCGGCGAACCCCCCCCGCCCCCTCCCACCCTAAACCCTAAACCCTAAGCCCTAAACCCTAAACCCCTTATCCCTCCCCCCCTCTCCACAAACATTGTAAAGATTACCCACTCGAGCAGGAATCCAGTTCGGGAGGTTGGTCTGTCGCAAACTCCTCAAAGGTTATGTCTAGACCCTAGAGTCAACCCCACAAGCCCTAGAAGCCTTACAAGCCCTTGACGCCAGCCACTGGTCGCAGACCTACCAGACAGGGTTTGAGGTTCAGACTTAAACCCTAAACCGCAACAGAAAACCCTAAACCCCCTAGACCTAGCCGCCCCCCCTCCCCGGGGAAATATATATATATATATGATAATAGAAGAATGGTAAGAATAATCATAACAGTAAAAATGATAGGAAGAATAAGAGTACGAATAATCATAACAACAGCAATAGTCATAATCATAATAGTGATAAAACTCCGAACCCTAAAAAGGAACAAAGCAACTAAAGCCTAACCATGCGAGATCAGAGACGAGGCCCGGTCATGAGTGGCAACACCTGCCCCGCATGCTCGAGCATTTCAGTGAGAAGAATCCTGGCTAGATTAAGGGTTTAGGGCGTGGGTTTGGTCTTATAAAGGGGCCAGCCTCCCGGAATCCCTTCTCATCTGAAGTTAAAAGCCATTTTTCTTGCTTTGCTTTTTATACTTGGCTCACAATACAGGCATCTACAACCGACCTACTGCTACTACGGCTCCTGCCACTCCTCCCACCACCACTACGACTGCTACTATTATTATTACTACTACTACTACTACTACTACTACTGCTACTGCTACTGCTACTACTACTACTACTACTACTACTACTACTACTACTACTACTACTACTACTACTACTACTACTACTACTACTACTACTACTACTACTACTACTACTAACACTACTA